AAATTTGAAATCAGAGAGGAGAACAAACAAAAAAAATGTGAAGATGAAATCGAGTTTTTTAGAAGGTTTGGTAAAATATGAAAGAAATGTTTAGTAATAATATGAAGAACTAAAGGAAGTTTGAGGGGTCACGTGAGTTGTTGTTGACATATCGCGTCAGAGCAACAAAATTATAGTATTCCCAACAATCGCTAAGTCAATTATTACTGTAATAATAATGTCACCACTGTTTCTTATCTACACTATATTGTCAATTTCTTTTCAGAAAAATCAGAAATCAGGAATATTTGTCGGACTTCATTACGAAAACATATAGTAGTGACATTGATTTTATAAGCCCATTTCTTACGTTAAATTTTGAATTATGTTTACTTTTATTATTGGGGTTTTGTGGGGGTTAGACTGTTTTAACTTTTTGTTGCCGTGCATACTAGAGAAGAAATGTTATAGATATTTGTTTTTTTATGTTAGATATTAGATCCATCCTAATGGTCATGATATATTATCCAAAAAGACCATTGTTGTTCCACATTTGAATAAAATTATTGGATTGATATTCAAAGCTACTAATTCAAAATAGATTGTTTGTATACGGATGTAATGGTTAGATTAGAGAAGAAAAGTCGCAATTTTTTGTCCTTCTATTTGTAGTAGGTGTTACAAAAAGCTGTAATAAATAAATAATCGAGTATTGTTAGCTAGTCATTTTCAAAACCAAATAATCTGAATATATTGTTTGTATACCCATGAAATCAAGATCTACAAAAAAAATAGAGTTTACGATCATCAAAAGGGTTTGTCAACTTATTTATTTGAATTAAAGGTTGCTAGCTTACACTCATCATTTAAAGATATAATCAGTCTTAGTGTTTGTTTAAATACAATGAGTGTGTTATAAATGAACAAACTGACATAATCATAGTGACTTTCCATACGATTAATAATGAAAAGTTTGAACTTAACTAAAAGTCGTCTTAGTATACTAATAAATAATTTCCTCCAGTCCCATTTGTATTTAATTATTCTCTCTTCCAGAAAATATAGGTAGATGCAAACAGAAGAGACATAAATTAACACACTTATAATATAATTCAATAAGTACTTTATTTTATATGAGTAAGTGCTTTCATTATATCAAACAGACAATTGATTTGTGCATACTACTAATTATCGCATTCAACTATTTGTTCACGGGCTTCTTCTTTTTGCCTCCAGCTTTTCATTTATTAATTGTCTTTGTTTTCTTATTAGTTTTGAAAATGAAGCAAGCTTGTATTTTTCTAAAATTTATTGGAACGAATTTTGGTTTTTTATTGT